AAATCCGGGTGTGAGATTATAATTGGAATGATTAATTTTTACTAACGTCTCACTTTACAGAAACATGAGAGCTATTAGTGAGAAATCCGAAATATCAAAAATTTCCTCAATTTCATTTGCACAGATTAGCAAACCGTCATCAAATGTATTATAATCTTAAAAATCTTAAAATATCCTTTGCGTTGTGGAGTGGGATGAGATAAGAAAGGAATTTCCTGTCCTACTTAAGACTCACACGATAGATTACACTTATGACTCACCTGCTCCTGTAAGGTCTAGTAATGGTCTTCTTTTTCCTTTGAAATTTGCTGCTTACAAGAAAAGTGTTTTTCTGTAACGGATAAAAAATATATCATTTGAAAAAAATCCAATTTTTTTAATACAAACTTGTAATGCTTGTCGGTTTCTGCTTCCCTCTAATCCCCCTTGTCTACTCTCGGACCCGGCTAGATGTGTGGGAGGAACTGAATAATCAGTAGACATGATTCACTCTAGTTATTTTATTGTCACCAAAATATCAAGCAAGCACAACAATAATATAATTAAGATAAATGATCAGAGAGTAGGGCGCGAGGGTGAGATCCGTTAGCCTGGGAATAATAATACGGACCCTCAACTGAATCTACGATAACCTATACAAGCTCAATATAAACTACGCCGCTTGCACTAATAAGCTAAACTTCTATTTAAACAAGGATCACGATACCTGTACTTTTATGAAGTTGAGTCCTCCAGTTGAGGCCTTGAATACGATCCTTATCCGGATTTAATCACCGTCGAGTGATACTCTTTAGACTTCTTCAATTGATAAACTCCGACTTGCACTTAATAATTTCACGATCCTCCACTCACCAACTAACTCTCAAAACTCGCGAATACAGAATTTATATAATATACTTAATTTGCATAATCATGTTTCCTTGCTTCGGGGAAAGTTGGTTGGTAATATTATTGCCCCAGAAAAGTCCCCAAGGAGTTATAGACGCGTATAGATCCGTCACAAACTAATAAAAGAAGGTCTTCCAGCTGCTGAAATAAATCGTTAATTTTGGTTTTATTTTTCGTTAAATCGAGGGTTTTTTTGTCTTCATTTTAATCGGGAAATGAGAAAAATTCGTTAAATCGCGAAATTCGTTAAGTATGGGTTCAGTAAATCGGGGGCCGACTGTATATATATATATTTGTGAGTTTACATGTGTTAAAAATATACGTTCTAATTTGTATATTTCTAATAAAAAGAATCACAATTTAAATAAATTAAAAGTAAAATAAACTTTTTTAAAAACGAGCTTTTATTTAAACGCGCTAAAAAGAATAAAATAAACTTTTCCTTCAAAACTTTTTTTTTACTATCAATTTATAACTTCATTTGTCATTTTATATGATATAAAAACTTGTCACGAGATTTAAGTACTCGTATTTACTTAGTTTGAAAATTTTAAGAATTAAAATCAATCAGATCAAGTTATTTAATTTACTTGTTTATCTACACAGGTAAATCTCGCAAAAAGCTTTTCTATCATATAAATTGCATAATGACGTTATAAGTTGGTAATAAAAAAGGTTTTGAAGGAAAAGTTTATTTTATTCTTTTTAGCGCGTTTAAATAAAAGCTTGTTTTTAAAAATGTTTTCTTACCTTTAGTTTATTTTTTACTTTTTAGCTATCGGGACAGGTTTCTCAGTCTGTTCATCTCATTCAGCGCATCATTGTTGCAAGATCGTTTGCCGGTTAATTTCGAACAGTAGCTAAATGAATTCTTGCAAAAAGGCGCATTTGACGAAAAACAAAAACATTTTTTTATCAGCAATTTTTAAGCGATTTTTTCAATCTTCGTACAGATCTTGGATAATATTTTTCTACACGCGAAAAAAAGGTTTCATGAGATTATCTTCATAAAAGACGAAGTTATTAAATGTTTAATTAAAATGTTTGGTATTTTTTAAAAAAATCGTAAGAAAAAAAGGTTTTTGGCATTTTATTTTTTAAGTGACTGATTCTAAAAGAGCAAAGCATGAACTGTTTTAGTACGGAATGTCGATTCATTTAAACAAAAAAAAACCATGCTCAACAATTTAGACATCATTTTCATAAAAACGCATCAATTTTGACTCATTTTTAAAAAAATCGTTAAAAATACAAATATTATTTTGTTCAAAAAATTGTACCGTACCGTGGCGAAATAAATGATCTTTCCGATTTGGTAACTATTTTTTGACTTGAGTTTTATAAAAAAAATTAGATCACTGTTTTAAAAACAGCAAAACTCCAAAAAAAGATCCCCGCTTGGTCTGCATTTTGCGTCGCCGAGCACAGCGGAATAAACAGCCCACAGGGGTAAAACAATTAGCGTTTTAAGGTTTTTAATTAATATCTTTTTAACTAATAGCAATATCGGAATACAAATGGTCAAAACATGCATTGTCATCCAAACTAAACGTGTATACAAAATTTCAGCTCAATCGGTTGAAGATATCAGCTTCAAAATTGAGTTGCAAGATTCCAACCGAACAAATTACATACTTACATACATGCATACATTGCAAGTTAAATAAAAGCTTTTGTAAAAAGGGAGAATAAGTTTCTTGCAGACAAGCTTAAAATGTGTTTAGAAAGGATCAGGTTCTATTTATATATTTATAATTTTTAAAATAGCTATCGAGTGACGATCAATATCTGATAAAGTTGCTAAGAAAAGAATTTATTGGATCTTTGGAATTTGCAGCATCCACAAAAATGGTTCTCTAGAAATAAATCGCTTTAAAAAATGCTTCCTTTAAAATTTATCGAATGATTCATTACATAAGCCTTCCCGACACTATGCAATAAATAAGTCAGGGATTAAGTAATCAAAAAATTGTTTTTGATTCCCACACGTTATCGTCACGTGTATTTTTATTTGTTAGAAGTGAACTTAGATCATATATTCCTTGGGATGAGTTTGATTCAGAAAACGGTGTTGCTAGGTGACAACAAGTCGAAAAATGAGTTTTCAAAGGAATTTGCTAATATTCAAAAACATTTGTATACAATGAATTCCTATCTGCCTTAGTTTTAAATTTCCTTTTTAGATGGATATTAATTTTTAATATACTTATAAATTAATTTAATTATTTTGAATGAAGGGGTCTCAGGGGTGTTATTTTTGTCTCGAGAGCTGTGAAAATGTAAGCAATTTTTGATTAGATGTAATTGGTTAAAGTGTAGTATGGGGAGGGGGGGGGGGCTTGGCGATGTCAATTACTTTTGGTGACCAAAACCAATCGCCAAGCTAATTCACTTAGCGATAGGTGTCCGGAAGCTAGAATGAATACGTTATCTCAACATAATATCTATATAAAAATCGCCAAAACCAAAGAAAAATCGCCAAATTCAAAGCCCTATACTATACTTGAGCCGATGTAATTTTTTGAGATTAAGATTATATTATTCGATTCCCTGACAGACACATTACTTATGAGGGAACCAGGCTTTAAAAAAGTGTAAAATGTTTAAAATATAATCATAATTTAAAAAATTATAAGCATATGAAAATAAAAAACATTTCTGTAAGAAATAATAATTAAGTCTTACGTGCGCATGATATTTTCGAAAATAGTAGCTCTAATTACTAGAAATAAGTTAATTTATAAAGTAAAATATATTCTCTCTTATTACACTGTAGCTATTTTTATATAAATAGAATAATAAATTATATTTTTAAAAAATAAAAAAATTAAATTTAAAATTTCGATAATTTTCAATTAGGAATACAAAAGATACATAAAAATTAGGTAGGGTTTAAAGAGTATGGTACATTTTATAATTCTATAAAGTTTTATACATCAAAGGCTACTAGCTTAGAAAACAGAAAGCGCAACGTAAAATTTGCTTAGTAATTATTACAGAAATGTTAGTTATTTTCATATGCTTAAAATTTTTTAAATTATGATTATATCTTAAACATTTTCCACTTTTTTGAAACCTTATTCCTTTACAAATATTGTGTAAAAGAATCTAATTATTTAATTTTAATTTCAAGGAATTATGTCTATTTGAAAACTGTTTATATTTCAACTCTTGAGACAAAATCAACTTCCCCGAGACCCCTGAAGAAACGAAATAAGATATATGTTTTGAGAAAATATTCGATCTTAAATGCCGTCAAGGTGCTGATACTGAAGTATGAACCCTCCTTTATTTTTTTAAAATTCTTTTTTATTAATTACTGTAATAGAAATAAGTTATAGTTTAAAAAAACTAAAAAACATGCTTCATAGTTAATTGAACTAAAAGGTAATTCTCTCATTAAGAATTATATTTTACTTACTTTTTTAGTTCGATTAACTACAAAACGTGTTTTTTTAGATTTTTTAAGCTATAATTTTTAGTTTTCGTTTTTTAGTTCCATCTACAATAAAAGCGTGTTTTTTTAGTCTCTTAAACTATTATTTATTCATTGATGAATTAATCTTAAATGCGTCCTTTTTTTTAGAATCTGGAATACCCATTGGCATCCTATCAGTGAGTCGATACGACCTGGTTTGCAAAATGAAGGATCAGCCAACTGAAAGAAATCTGGAAGAGCTAAATTTTAAATATTTCATGCGGAAGATGGTGTATAGTCCCCATGATATTTTTCACTAAAAAGAGACTCAATATCCTCTCTGAAACTTGCATCAGCATTAGACTTAAAAGTTCACGTTTTGAGTCGAAGAGTTTGTGAGAAATTATTTAATCTGGTGACCTCTGAATAAGTTCTCAGCTGTTTGGTAAAATGAATGATGTTTCATTCCACAGATCCGACAAGAGAATTTAGAAAAACAGACTTTATGTCTCGGTTTCAAGCAATTAGAACATAAATTATTTTATCCCCATGATCGTGTTTTTTTTTATTTCCATTTTCAGAAAAACTGGGCACTTTTTTATATTACGGTAAGAAATTGCTGACACATCCTTCCCTTTTTCACATAAAGGACACATTTTTGTTTGTTGTATTTAAATTAACCATGAACGTTTTCGCCTTAGGGTTGTAACTTAATCTTTTGATATGACCCTCGGCTCGTAACCGAGTGGACTCGGGTTCGAATCCCGAATAAGGCAATATCTCCTTCGGAAAAGAAGTCGGACTTTTTTTCGCCCGAAATGGATTCCTGTCTCGAATGGAAAGCGCAACCCCTTCTGTTCTATGCTGGGATCATCGTTTGTAGTAAAATGTCTATATTTTTCTGTTTGTATTGTATGTTTCTGTTCTTCCATCTCTCGTTTTTCATATGTATCCCAGGATAAAAGCACGCGACAGCAACAAAAAACAACTGGGAATAGGAAATTGTTTATCCTGAGGATCCTGATGAGGATAATGGAACAAAATTATGAAATCATTGTATTGTCATTGGTCCTGGACAAGTGTGTGCAAAATTTCGAATTAATCTGACTTCTTAAAGTAGGTAAAAATATCGAGTTCAAAGATTTTGTGGCGGTATCTAAGTAAACCAGAAACAGCCTCCGGACAGGAGTGATCGCTTTTGTCTAGTGGTATGTTACGTGCTTACGAACCCATAGGTCGCGGGTTCTAATCTTTCACATTGGTGACCTTGGCTGAAAAGAAAAACGCAAACCTTCTGATGTGTCGTGGCGCCATCTACCCGCAAGAAGAACAAGCAAAGTCGTCGGACCCACTAGAAGCAGCAAAAGTCGTCAGACTCAATCAACGCAGCAAAGTCGTCGGATTCACTTGACGCAACTAATCTTCCACAATTTCGTTACACACAAGTGAAGCGAAAAAAAGCACGCCTGTTAAAAAAAAAGGAATCGCAGTGCTATAATAAAACAATGAATCGATTTATGGATTACTGGTAAAAATTTATTGCGTGTCTTTCAGTCTCCCCCGACTTCTATTTTATTCTGTCAACGCAGTTCCCAATCGTAATTATTTATTAACGTCGAACTAAGAAACTACACGAGCTCTATTGGGGATGGAGTTTGTAACCTTCAACGACAGTTAAGGGGGTTCACCCATGTAATGGGTTCAAAAAATCAAAAAAATTTTTTCTCCATAAATTGCTTTTTTAACATGTTTAGAATACGGTGGTAAAATGATTTTTTAAAATTCGAAGCCTTAATAAAGAAGTAAGTGTTAGAAGAGCAGCTGTTCAGAGCGTCTATTGTGTACCATTGACCCTTCTACGCAAATATACGTTCATACAAGTATAGACAAGTTTGTAGAGGTTTAAAAGGAAATATCTATAGTTAATGAATATTTCATCGAACTTGTTTTAGTCTTCGCCACCAGGTATCGCCAATTGAGGGTAAGTTAGGATTTTCATTGTTTTAATCGGACTTGAAACTTTAAACGCGTTTTTCTAGAAACTGTGTTTTTTAAACTTTCCTCCATCTTATCTCAAGAACGGTTCAACCGAATGACTTCAAATTTATAGGGCAGACTTAGCATAAACATACGCACACAATGAATTACGATCATACCAGAATTCAAAATATTTCTATTTTTTTATAACAAAAACATAACAAAAAACCCCATGAAATTCGAAACTTTTTCTTCAGAGGTCTACTAAAAATCCAATTTTTGATATTTTCATTTGAGTGTAGTCCATTCTGTGCATTTAAACTTATAGATTAAAACGCCGTTAGTTTTTTTTTTATTTCAGAGAAGCCAATCAGACGGAATCGTCAATGGCAGGGGTTGGCAGACTTTTCCAGGGTGCGGGTTACTCTCCTAATTTTTTCAAGGAGTTGCGGTTCACTAGTGTCAGCGGCTCACACAAGGGGAGGGGAGGGGTCCACGGGTCCGGACACTTCCTCATAACCCTTCCTTTTTTTCCGATTCATTATAGTCCCATGTATATAGTACGTAAAATATAATTAAGTATTTGATATTAGTTCAGTAATTTTTTGTATTTATTAATGTGAATTATATATTCAGTAATTTATTTTTTGCTGTTTTTTTGTTCCCGACAATCGACAAAATTAAAAAAAAATTTCTTGGCTGCGTATTGGGGTATGATACGAGAATGGTAGACCTTCAATCCTCGACCCCCTTCCCTTTAAAAATTCTTGTGTGCGCTACTGCCCAATGTCGTAGGTGCGGTGAGGTAAGGGGAAAATGTTATTATTATAACTTTATTATTTGTTCGGAACATGTATACTTATATATATATATATATATATATACCTACCTACAGAACTAAAATAAAAAACAACACTTTTAAAATCGCGTTTAAAGCAAAACGCAAGCTACAAAACTTAATAATAATAGCCCCAAATATAATAATATCAAATGATACTTTTATTATAAAACAATTCACAATACATTAAAAAAATAAAACTTTTTTTTTATCTAAAGTTAGTTTTTGCTGTTATAGTCAGTAGAATGCTAGTCTACGTACTGTCAGCCAATCTTGAATTTTCCGTACATAATTACTAACTGGTAAAATTTTTAGGCGGTCACCCCAAAATGTCTTGGCGGTCCACAGGTCGATCGCGATCGACGTAACGTCCACCCCGGGTCAATGGTATTATCAATTTGAGAAAACAGTTTTGCTTGTGTAAAAAGAAAAGCAGCGGCCTGCCAAGCGTCTCGGAAGAAGTTGAGAAGGTGAAGCAGAGTTTTGTTCGAAGTCCACGGTATCTACGTCAGTTGCCCCCAGTGAACTGGAATGCCCCAGAAAACTGTATGAATAAACTTATGAAAAAAATTAAATTTAATTTACAATTGACACAACAAATAACAGAGGACGACAAGTAAGTATTTGCGCAGCATTGCGAACCCTTTTGATAGAGTGATGCTACAAAATATATGGAATGACCTGGATTACAGATTAAACGTATGCCGTGTAACAAGAGGGTCACACATCGAACGTTATTAACAACAACAAAAAAAACTTGTATATTTCTCTTTACACATCCATGTATCATTTATTGTAATATGTGCAATAGTTTCGATAATATTATTTTTCAAAATTGGGTCCATCATTTGTACTCTTCCTGTATTTTTTAAATTTCTCGGTGAGGTTAGAATTGGCGAAAAAGACATCAGTTCAAATTTGAGATTTTTAACACCCTTTTATAAGCTTCACTTGTATGTAACAGAATCTTTGAATTCAATTTTTACCCACTTTAAAATGTCAGATTAATTCGAAATTTTGCTCACTTGTCCAGGAACGATAATAATACAATAATTTAATAATTTTGTTCCGTTGCCATCAGGATGAACGATTTTCAGATTCCAACCCACATCTGGCGACTCATTTCAGATCCCATTTCCAGATTTGGCGACCAAAAGATCAAATTTGTTCAATTAACTTGAAAGGTTTTTTTTAAAGTTTTTTTAAACTGTAATTTTTATTTGTTACTTGTTCTAAGTACTCAAGCAGTCGCCAATAGTTTATTGTATTCATGCTAACACAAACTTTCATTTCGCTAACTTTACACAGAGCTTTTTTCCCTTTTTTTTTATTTACAGCTGATTTTTTAGTGACAGAGATTCTCATTCGCACTAGTTTAATAAATTAATATTTCCTTAGTTTTTTTTTGTTTTGTTTTTTTGAAGAATTTTCTTATGTTAATTCGATATTTCTCAAATTTTTGAACTTCTTGTTGATAAGATTATCTAAATTGCTATCAATTTGTACGGAATATTTAAATAAAAAAAATTCATGACCTAAATTCAGATTTTTGTAAAAATATTCATATTTTAACTATAAATAGTACTTACGTATTATACCGTCGACCAATTTTGGCAAACAAAAAGACATCGTCAATTCAAAATGTCGCCAAACGCTGTCATCGTTATTGTTATTGTGTTCGAACATACGCGGTAACGGTTTCCACTATTGGCTGCATATCACGGCATTTTGCGACGCTTTTTAATTTGATGAAATTGGTTGATGGTTTAATACGAGGGATGATCAGAAAAAAAGGTTACAAGCCGCAGCATTTGAAAACTACATATTCTGGAAAAATTTTATTTCCCCAGAGTGGAGACAATTGGCGCTACTTGTCATACAGCTGGTTTGCGGGTAGGTGAATGAGCATAGGAAATCGGTCTCGTTTGGAAGTGCGAGCCGTGATTCGATTTTTATGGTCAAAGAATGTGCCCCCGCATCTGACATTCACAGTCAAATTGTGGAAGTTTAAGGTGAAGGAGCAATGAGCAGGCACTATATAGCAAAATGGTGTCACTTTTTCAATTAGGCAGACAGGATGTCGAAAATCGCAATATGACAGGGAGCGGCCGGCCAAGTTCGTCAACGGCAGAAATCAACACGGCACGAATTGAAGAAATGATTCAAAATGATCGACGGGTAACTCTGCGTGAAATCTCGTCAGAGCTGGGATTGAGCTATGGTAGCGAGCAGCATATCGTTTCTGAAGTACTGCGATATTCCAAGACAGTGCTGTGAAAACATCCACCGAAACCTGGCTCAATGAACAGGGACCTGATTTCTACCAAGACGAGTTAAACAAGTTGGCTCTGCGTTCTGATAAATGCCTAAATAGACTTGGTGATTATGTTGAAATGTGAGAGACGTATGCCTTTTAATTCCTTTTTGTATTTTCTGTCTATTGTTAATAAATATTTCTTTATTAACTTGTAATCTTTTTTTCTTATATTCGTGTGTGTGTGTGTGTGTGTGTATAAATACTTAATAAATATATATTCAGTATGAGGATTATTCCATTCTGAGATGCATCGTAAATATGTTTTAAATATTGATTTGAAATCCAGTTCTCTTTTAATGATTTTATAGATTTACGCTCACAAGAACTTTTTTAGTAAAAAAAATCATTAAAAATGAAATTTTCTGTTAAATACTTAACAAACATGACGTTTAACAAATGATTCGTTAACACATCTATTACTTAACATTATCTATAAAAAATTATCATTATCTACCGATAACTGACATTTCTTTGGTGATTTCGTAAATACCGATAAGCTATCTTATCAAATTCTGACGTAATTGACAAGCAAGTACGTCAGAACTGGAGAGAAGAGCTATTTTTTCATATTTCTGTTACCATTTCCATGATTTCGAAAGCTATGCTATCCTTAAAATAAAGATAGATGGATAAATATGGTAAGG